ACCAAGAGCTTGTAACACTCCAAAGAGAAAGGAAAAAATTTAATTGCATCATATGTGTATGTATATATATCATACTGGTAAAAAATGTATAGCCTGAATGCACTGTAAGTCGCTTTGGATAAAAGCGTCTGCTAAATGCATAAATTATAAATTATATGAACCCTTTAAACACACATGTAAACAAAATTAAAAGGATATACAATGTCATTTATTTATTTATTTTTCTCCACTTACCTGCTAAATAAAGGATGTAGGAATGGCTGTTGACCGAGTTTCTCAAATCGCTGACAAGCACTTCAGTCCATGAGCTTTACCCTATGGTACCTTTATGGCCTATAGATCATAAATACGAGGACAAACTCTGTAATATGCTGCTGTTTTAAAGAAAGATTTCACCCAAAAATTCTCACAACGTTTGTTGAAAAAAACTAATCTACATTTTTTAAATTTATATGCTACTCTCTTGTATTTACAACAGCATTTTTTATTTGTTATATAGTGTATTATTTGTAACAGCAACATCAACAGCCAACATCTTTTCAAACAGCATCATCCTGCCATCAAAATACTGCTTGATTTTATGCTATTTTCAGCAGCAAATCCAACCTGAGCTGTGAATATTTGCCAAATGTTGATTGATTTATTTAGCAGTAGGACAGATAGACATCTTACCAATGCTGCAGACACCAAACACCTCTCAGGTAACGTGTCATATGATGACAATCTCTATAACAAACATGTAGTTACAGCACTAGTGCGCTGTCATATACAATAAACTGCGACACTGTCGCATCATACAGGTCTGATCGTGCCCTGACTGTAATCTGACACCTGCAAAAGCTGATTTTGGTTCGGTGAATGAAGAGCCATCGCCTTAAAAACAGCAGGATAATAATGCATGACCATATACTGCGCCTTAGCAAAAGGTTTAACGTTGTCATCTCGAGGACAAAATTTCTGACTGATGGATACAAAAATATACATATATATTTTTAATATACCAACCTTTTGGGAGAATTAACGGGAGAGAAGATGAGAGGCTTTTCTAGATCCTAGCGGAAATTTCCGCTTCCGTTTACGGCTACCTGTCAAAAAACGAACGCAGCCCAAGCCTCTTACTAAATATTCATGAGATGGGAGTGGCGGTTAGTACGCTGGTTAGTGAATATTTATGAGTGGGCGTGGATTTGTGGTTTACGTTGAAACCCACAAGGGTAAACAAACCTGCCAGATTTTTTTTTTTGTTTGCATTAAAGCCCTTAGAGAATAAATAAGAGACAATAAACGAATTATATATAAATTATGAATTTATAGGGTTCGTCAGATCTTCTGCTTGGGAGACACGAACAGGCGATGAGAAATCCGCTAATCCCAACATCATGGTTGCTAACGCACCGAGCCTGGTGTCCATAACAATGAGTCGATCCATACATCCTCAGATCTGATGACGCGAGGCATCGCTGACGTCACTGACGCTCTAGTGCCTGTAGAAGCGGCTGGCCCGCAATAACAAATTGGATGAAGACAGAAATATTACTCACATCCATTGAAATCATTCAAGATGGCGTCCGAGGTGGAATACGAGTCGATTCTGTGCGTGAAACCAGATGTAAATGTTTACCGCATCCCGCCGCGGGCGTCGAATCGCGGATACAGGTGAATTATAGGTTGTGCGGGCCTGAGCCCTTGGCTGGTGTCTGTTCTGTAAATAATCTTGGAATACCATTTTGCCGCAGCTGTATCAGCACCACACTGCTACTACGAACGTCATTTGATGATAAATAATGAATTTATCGAAATTTATTATTGTTATGCGCACTGTTATGCCACACAGACAGTGTTTTATCATTGGTTTATCACGATAGAAAGAAAAACATCTTGTGATGTCAGATGCTTGGTGTGTTTGCGAGCTCACGACTCAACATTAATAGGAAGTGGTGTAGAATAAGCAAATACAAATTTAATTACACTTTCATGTTATTTTCATGCAGTTGAAGTGCACAGAGCATCTCTCATTTGATTTGTAGTTTTATTCTGGTTATATAATATGTTGTTGTTGTGTTGGTGTGAGATGTGTGTTTTCAGGGTCGTATATGTGGTCCAGTTTATATGGTGTATAATTAGTCCTAAAAACTCTTGCCCACAGAGAATGTTATACTTCACTGGCACACATTTTAGAGGAGAAATCCCACTTGTATTCCTTCATGAGGAGCTTGAAGGCTTGTGTCAGTTCTGAAAATTGAAATAATACTGCTGGATTTGCCATAAACTGTCGAAAGATGTTAAATGTCTTCTGTTCCCACTGTCTTCTGGTTATTTTCACCAGTCATTTTCTGGTCAGTGTCTTCAGGTGAAAATGACCAGAAGACAGTGGGAATAGAAACCATTTAATCCCTTTCCAGTTATGACATTTTAATTCAAACTACAAGGTCAGAATAATAAAAAAGAAACCTGCATGAATAATTTACAATAAGATCAATAACATGCATTTGGAAAACAGGTATGAATATTCAAATTCAAATTATGTTTGTGACAATCACTTTTTTTCCCTGTACTCATTGCTGTGATGTATCCAAGTGTTTCACTACACCAGAAAATAATTGGTCTTATTTTTGTTGTTAAGCTCATCCAAAAGATATTTCCATTTAAAAAAAATTGTGAAGACCATTTTCATTTGATGGACCTGAAATGACATTTCTGCTGTGATAATGGCAGGGCGGCTGACTGGAAGCTAGACACTCCTGACTGGACAGGCCGTATGCGCATTACAGCAAAGGGGAAGGTGGCTTATATCAAATTGGAGGACAAAGTCTCAGGTTAGAAAAAAAAAGACCCGAATGTTTGATTGGATGACTCTCAGAGACATCTGTGCAGCAAAAGAAGCTCCTAGTTGTCCTTTTTCTATGATTGCCCTCAGGTGAGCTGTTTGCCCAAGCACCGGTAAATGAATACCCTGGCATTGCAATGGAGACAGTCAGTGATTCCAGTCGCTATTTTGTTCTCCGAATACAGGATGACAATGGTTAGTGTATATTATCTGTAAACTGACCTTGTTTTACATACCCTGCCATAATAGAATGTCTTGCAAATAAGTTATACTTCACTGTTGTGTGTTACAGTTTAGACATGCAATATCCTTGCTTGCCTGTATTTTAGGTCGGAGTGCATTCATTGGTGTTGGGTTTGGAGACAGAGGTGATGCCTTTGACTTCAATGTCGCCCTGCAGGATCATTTCAAGTAAGTTTCCATCAAAATTCATGTGAATGTTAATGACTGGTAATGCTTTTGTTTTTGTAGTGACACCTTGGATGCTGATGGATGTTTTTAGTTCATTTCTTTGGGGCATAATAAGCAGTGTTAGTATTAGAGGTCGACCGATTCATCGGTTTTGCCGATCAATCGGCACCGATAGTTGATTGGCGGAACTATCGGTTATCGGCAAAAATCAATGCCGATAGTTTTCCGGGTTGCGTCCTTTGCTGGAGTGGCCGAGAAGGGTCCGCTGCCATTATACAGTACGAGCGCGGCCTCTAGAGGCGGAAATCACTAACAGCACCTGTTGTTTGTTTTGACACGTGACACTGCGCGCTGCACAGAGCGGGAAACTTCAAACTCAAAAGAAAATCCTGCCGGTATGTACACTCTTTAAAAAAGGTTCCAAAAGTTTTTTTTTTTTTTTTGCAATGATGCCATAGAAGAACCATTTTTCGTTCCCCAAAGAACCTTTCAGGGAACAGTTCTTGAAAGTGTGAAACATAAAGAACAGTTGAAAAAAATGGAACAATGGAAAAAAAATATTTTTCCACTATAAAGAACCTTTTGTGGAATTGAACGTTTCCATGGATGTTAAAGGTTCTTCATGGAACCATCAATGCCAATAAAGAACCTTTAGTTTTGTGTACACTGTGCAGTTTGTATTTTATTTATTTATTTTATTCCTTAATCTTTCCCTCTCTTTTTCTATAAGGTGGGTGAAACAGGAGAATGAAATCAAAAGTTCTCAGGCTGCAGACTCAGGACCCAAACTGGATCTAGGCTTCAAAGAGGGACAGACCATCACACTGAATATCGGGGTAAAACAAAACTAAAGCACAAAACAGCTAAAAACTACTTTTGGAATTGGATTAAAAAAATTCAGATTATGGCCTTATAGTCTTGCATCACTAAATTTTCATAAGAATATATAGTGATTTTCCATGCCCTCATATCATAAATAAACATGAGTTTGTGTTAAATTAGAGAAATGTTTCTTTGTATTTAGCAAGGTAAAAAGAGGGACAAGCCACGCCCTCAGAACGCAGGAGGCTTTGGGCTCCTCCCTCCACCTCCAGGAGGAAAGATAGCCCCTCCTCCTTCGTCCAATCACAACACAGTACAGCCATCAGGAGGAGCACAAACAGGTACATCATTTGACGTCATTACTGCTTAAATATAAACTAAATCTTTAATCTAAACAGATAAGGTAGAAATTCAGCATTACATCACTTGCTCACCAATGGTTCCTCTGCAGTGAATGGGTGCCGTCAGAATGAGAGTCCAAACAGCTGATAAAAACATCACAATAATCCACAAGTAATTCACACAACTCCAGTCCACCAATTAACATCTTGTAAAGTGAACAGCAGTGTGTTTATAAGAAAAAAATATTAATCATTAAAAGTTTTTAACTTCTGTCTAAAATATGACTCCTCTATCCATAATATTGCTTTCTCCAATGATAAAGCAGTCTTGTTTGAATTAGGAAATTTGCACAGACCCTTCTACAAAAGAGAAAAAAGTTCTTAATAAATATGTTATGGGGGTTAGATGTGAGATGACAACAGGGGATTGACTTTTTCTTTGCTAAATTTCTCCAAATCTGTTCCAATAAAGTAAGGAGCTCATCTACAGTGCATCTTGGAAGGCTTGAGGGTGACACATTCAGCCAGTTTTCATTTTTGGTTGAGCTATTCCTTTATATGTCAGCCCACTCTAAATGCACGGACACATAAAGACAGACACAACACAATTTTACAGATATCATTGTTCATACAAAAATAATTTTAATTACATACTACTTTTATTTTTATATTCTATTCTTTTCTTGACCTCACTTTCTTCTTCTACTTTTAGGATGTTTATTAGAACTGGACAGCAGTAACTCTAATACAGTGGTTCAGTCAAACCCCAGCTCTGACCTGTGGGGTGACTTCTCTAGCTCTGCAAGGTAACATGATTAGTGACCTTGATTCTTGACCATTGAATAAGTATTCAGATATTACTACTGGTCACTAAATATTTTCATTAAACTGGTCTTAGACCACTACCTGTATAAGCATGTAAATGTTCTTTCTTGCTTTCCTTCCTTCCTTCCTTTCTTTCAGCTCTGTTCCTCCTCCAGCACCATGCCAAGAACCCTCTTCTGGGAACTGGGTCCAGTTCTGAAAAAGTTTTATCCTCCTTCATTCCATTATTGTTCCCATTCCTCCATCAAAACTACTGCAATTAAAAGATACTGCATAATTGTGTGGAAAATTAGAGGCAAGCTGTATGTCATGCTGCTAATCTTAGCAGAGCACAGAGGCGAGAAATAGGCTATTAGGAATTCTGTTAGAATCAACCAAATGAAATTATGAAAAAGACTGTATAAAAGAGAGGAACATCCCATGGGTGTTATATATATAAAACTTTATGGTAATGTTTTGAAGATTGTTTCAGTATCTTTACATTTGTCCACAAGGTGTTGGATGTGTCCATTTGGTTGTCATGACCTGTATGTTTGTTTTAGGTTTTGGAGGAGTGAATATGTGTTTGAGTGTTTAAAAAAAGGCAGAGATTTTGTTTGAAAGTGTAGAATTTAAGTGAGGCCTGGATATGTTAAGAGCTTAACATCTTGTATGTCATAAGAATATATAAAACCTGTACAGTATAAATATTCAAAAATACTGACTGAAGGCCACAATGTAGAAAAATTATGTCCCTCAAATAAAGGGATTATGTCTAGATATTCATTACATATCCATATTGTCATTTACTTGACTAACAGAGTCATTTACGTGTTAAACAAAAATAAAATATACAAAAGAACTACGACACGCATTGCTTCAAATGTGATTATTTTAAATCATATAAAATCTGTGGAATATGATTCTCAAAAATATTAGCATTTGCCCTTGCAGTCTATAAAAAATATTTAAGTGCTACAATGCTTTGTACGTAACTTAGCTTATGGAAACGAATGCAATCACATTGCTGTTATGGAGAACGAAAGTTTGCATTAGGATTGGCTATATTAAATGTGTGATTTCCTTTTTGGCTAT